CCTCTTCACCTCTGGCAACCACCAGTCTCTTCTCTGTATCTATAAGCTAAGTTTTTTTTTTTGTTTGTCCTTTTTGATTCTACATACCTTATTTGTCTTTCTCTGTATGACTTATTTCACTTAGCATAATGCTCTCAAGGTCCATCCATGTTGTCCCAAATATAAAGATTTCATTCTTTTTAATGCTGAGTAATATTCCATTGTTTATAGGAACCACATTTTCTTTATCCATTTACCCATTGATAGACACTTCCCTTGGCTATTGTAAATAATGCTGCAGTGAAAATGGGGGAGCATATTTCTTTTCAACTTAGTGTTCTCATTTTCTTAGGTAAATACACAAAAATGGAATTGCTGGGACATATGTTAGTTCTATTTTTAATTTTTGTAGGAACCTCCATACTGTTTTCCATAGTGGCTGTACCAATTTATATTCCCACTATCAGTGCAAAGGATTTTCTTTTCTCCACATCCTTGCCAACACTTTTTATTTCTTGATTTTAAAAATAATAGTCATTCTAAGAGGTGTAGGATGATGTCTTATGTAGTTACGACTTGGATTTATGTGATGATTAATGAAGTTGAGCACTTTTTCATGTGCCTGTTGAACATCTGTGTATTTTTTGGAAAAAATGTGTATTTAGATACTCTGTCCATTTTTATTAGGATTTTATTTCTTTTTTGCTATTGAGTTGTATTAGTTCTTTATATATTTTGGATATTATAGCCACTTATCAGATATTTGATTTGCAAATATTTTCTCACATTTAGTTAAGTTATCTTCTCATTTTGTTGATGGTTCCTTTGCTGTGCGGAAGCTTTTTAGTTTGATGTAGTCCCATTTATTTATTTTTGCTATTGTCAGATCCAAAAATCATCACCAAGTAAAGGAGCTTATTGTGTATGTTTTCTTCTAGGAGTGTTATGGTTTCAGTCTTCCATTCAAGTCTAATTCATTTTGAATTAATTTTTGTGTAAGGTGTCAGCAGTCTAGTTTCATTCTTTTGTATGTGACTATACACTTTTCCCAGGACTACTTATTGAAGAAGCTGTCCTTTACCTCATTGTATATTCTTGGCTTCTTTGTCATAAATTAGTTGCCCATGTAGGTGTGGGTTTATTTCTGGGCTCTCTATCCTGTTCCACTGATCGTATGACTTTTTTTATAGCTAATACTTATTGTTTAGATTACTATAGCTTTGTAATATAGTTTGAAATCTGGGAGCTTAATGCCTTCAGTCTTGTTCTTTCTCGAGATTGCTTTGGCTCTGCAGGGTCTTCTGTGGTTCCATACAAATTTTAGGATTATTTGTTCTATTTATGTGAAAAATGCCATTAGAATTTTCATAGGGATTGCATTGAATCTGTAGATTGTTTTGGGTAGTATGGACATTTTAACAGTGTTAATTCTTCTATTCCATCAGCATGGAATATCTTTCAATATATTTATATCTTCTTCAACTTCTTTCATCAGTGTCTTAAGTTTTCAGTGTACAGTAGTTCCTCCTTATCTACTGAGGATAAATTCTAAGATTGCCGATGGATGACTGAATCCGCAGATAGTACCAAACCCATATGTATTATGCTTTTTTCTATACATACATACATACAACCTATGATAAAATGTAACTTATAAATTAGCCACAGTAAGACATTAACAACAATACCTAATAATAAAATAAAACACATAACAATATGTTTTAATGAAAGTTATGTGAATGTGGTCTCTTAAAATATCTTATTATATTGTACAGACAACATGAATATGCTGGAAAAAGGCATGATTCACATCCCAGATGGGATTGAGTGGGATGGCATATGATTTCATCGTGCTACTCAGAATGACACACAATTGTTTATTTCTGGAGTTCTCCAATTAATATTTTCAGACTGCAGTTGACCGCGGGTAACAAACGTGGAAAGCAAAACTATGGATAAGGGGAGACTACTGTACAGGTCTTTCACTTCCTTGGTTAAATTTACTTCTTGGTATTTTATACTTTTTGATGCATATTCCCCCATTTTTATATTGCAGTGTTGGTCTTTTTCAAATTTATTTATGAGTAGTGGTTGTTGTTTTTTTTTAAAAAAGAAAACATTCTGGATACTAATTATATGTGTTACAGATACCTTTTGTTAATTATATATGTTGCAGATATCTTCTACTGTTTTTTGTTTTTAATTTCTTTTTGTTTTCTTTTGATTAAATTAAGTCTTACCTTTTTTTTTGTTTAGTGTGGTGGAAATTATCAATTCTTTTTTGGTTAATGCTTTGTGTTTTTTTTTTTTTTTTTAAGGAATCATTCTTTAGCCCATGTTTATAAATATACTCTCATATTTTCTTATAAAAGTTTTCAAGTTTTGCTTTTTACATGTATATCTTTAATTTTCATAAAATTATTCTTTATGTGTGGTTTGAGGGTAGGGACCTATTTTTCCAATTTGGATAACCAATTTTCCCAGTATCAGTAATTAAATAGTCTTTTCTTTCCCTACCTTTATTATATATCTGGACTCCACAACCATGGGTTTGTTTCTGCGAGCTCTCTGTTAGATTCCTTAGGTCAATTTGTCTTTCTACATCAGCAACATATATTTTTTAATCAATAATAATTTTTAGGAGTTAAATGGATCTTGGATTCAGTGATTGAAGGAGACATCATATACTTTTTCATAATGAAGTTTCATAAAACTATAAAAGTTGTTAATTGATTCATTCAACAAAATTTTGTTGAACACCTTCAGTATGCCAGGACCATACCAGGACTCGGGAATTATGGGAAAATAAGACAAAATTTCTTTCTGTTATGGAACTTATAGATTAATGAAAGCATGTAATAAAAGCATAATAAAAATCATGTAAAGTGTTAGAGTATAACTGGTGGAATGGGCACTAGTGGGAAAAAATAAAATAATTGATACATTATACTATATTAAAATGGGAACTTATTTATCAAAAGGCACCATGAAGGGCTTTTCTGAGGAGATGACGTTTGAACACAAATGATGAGAGGGGTTAATAGTGAGAAGATGTGGGGTAGAAGTATTTCGGGTAGAGAGAACAAGAAGTATAAAAACCCAGAGATTGGGGCAAGATGGTGTGTTTTGAGGAATACCAAGAAGACCATTATGACTGGGAGCCAAGGAGTAAAGAGGAGAATGGTAGAGAATTAGGTTGGGAAGGTGATGGGCGCCAGACACTCTTGAATCTTTAGGCCATGGAATTTATTATAGGTGTAATGAGCCATTGAGAAGACTTCTGCATGATGCAGATCTGATTTATGGTTTACAAAGATTGCTTGGGCTTCCATGTAGAGAATGAACTCTGCACAAGCAGGAATAAGCCCTAAGTCTGGTCTCTAGGTAGAAATCTGATGCTGTGATCCAGTGGAAAGGTAATAGTGTCTTGGAACAGGGTGGTAGTTGTATAAGTGGGAGAAATAGAAGGACTCCAGATAAATTTTGAAGGTAGAATATAAAGCTCTCAGAGATAAATGGGATGTGAAGTGTGAAAGAGGAACATTGAATAATACATCTAAGGTTTTTGGCCTGAGAACAAGGTGGAAGGGAATAGTGATTCCACTAACTGAATTAGAGAGAGGCAGGTTTGGAAGATAAACAGAATCAAGAATTACGTTCTGGATAAATTTGAGTTGCCTATTAAAGGATAGAGGCAATTAGCCCAGCTGGCATGGCTCAGTGGTTGAGCATCGACCTATGAACCAGGAGGTAACTGGTTCGATTCCCAGTCAGTGCAGATGCTTGGGGTGAGGCTCGATCCCCAGTGTGGGGCGTGCAGGAGGCAGCAATGATTCTCTCTCATTGTTGATATTTATCTCCCCCCCCCTGAAATAATAAAAATTTAATAAAAATTAAAAGAATAGAGGCAGTTATAAGGCAGGCAATTGGATATGTGAGTTTGTGTTCAGGAGAAGATATATAAATTTTGGAGTCATCAGTGAGTAGATTCTTTTTTTAATGGACTTGTTGGGGAAATAATTTTTTTATGTCTTGGATGATAAATGGAAGTATTTTTGAAATTTAAGGAGCTAAAATATAATTTTGAAAAACAGCACAGTAGAAAACATGATAAAGCAATTTGATTAAACGGTATGATTGAAATGCAAACATGAAGTTCTGGTTAAGTTAAAAATTTAGAGTGAAGACAGAATCATTCTCACTCAAAATAAAACTAAAGCCTTTATAGACTGAAAGCACAAAAACATAAAATAAAAGGATGTGGAAATCCTAGGACACTGTGGTGTTGCTCACAATTATTTGCCCTATTCTTTCATTGAGTATTTTTCTTTTTTTCTGTTCTCTCTGGAACTGGGCATTGCTTTCCTCTATTTGTAGCTTGGCCAAGTGGGAGAATAGCAGCCTGAAACACTATTTAAACTGGTTATTGGGGCAGCAAGCTTTTAAGAGCCAGACGTTGGAACCAAATCCTGAGTTAGAATCTTACCTCTATTACTTAGTCTTAGACGAGGCAATCTCTGAACCTCAAGTTTCCCATTTCTAGAACAGGAATTATACCTACTACCTCTGAAAATTAGAAATTAGAGTAGAAATTCTAATGAATGTACAACATTATTTTATACTACTATTAATTTGTATTTTTTCTGATCACTAATGAGGTTGAGTATCTTTTCATATGTTTATTGACCATTTGTATTTCTTCTGTGAAATGGCTTTTGCTTATAAAGAGTTAATATTAATAGCACAGTAAATCTTGCAGTACATTTTCTTATCAATTGAATATGTTTTCATTTTTATAATCTCCATAATTTGTATACTTTTACTCATACATACCTATCAATTTTGGGGGAATTAAAAGCAAAGTAAAAGAAAAACAATTATGCAAATTTATTAAAGTATTGAGTTGGTAAAATTAATAAACATTGAGACAGGTTCAATCATAGTTCTGTTCCATGTTATAAACTAGCCATTGTGTAAATCTAGCGCTGAAGTTCTAATACTTTTTCCCTTTTTTCCTTGAGCTGTTATAGCAAACAGTGAAGAATCTCAACTTCTGACACCAGGAAAGATGAGTCAGCGCCAAGGGAAAGAAGCTTATCCAACTCCAACCAAAGACTTGTGTCAGCCATCTTTTAGTCCTGCAAGCCTTCATAGTCAGGGTAAGAGTTGTGGTTTGAATGTGTTTTGTGTTGTGGTTTTTTAAGGGAAGAATGACATTTTGGATCTATCATAACTTTTATCTTTTGAACCCTTTAGCTTTATAGGGGTTTTTTGTTTGTTTTGGTCATACATACTATTCTTGAAATGAGTACATTTTCCTTTTGAGTCTTTTAATTTCTCTTATATTCTCTAGCATACTTTGTTAGTTATACCATTCTTCAAATTATTGATTCTCAAACGTCTTAGTCTCAGGACCCCTTTACACTGGTAAATTATTGAAGAAGCCAAAGAGCTTTTGTTTATGTGAGCTAACCTATTAACATTTACTATATTGTAAACTAAAACTAAGAATTTTTTAAATTGTTTATTATTCATTTAATATTATAATAGTAAACCCATTACATGTGACTATGAATAACATATTTTTTATGAAAATAACTATGTGAGAAGAGTGGTATTCTTTTCCCGCAGGTTTCCTCAACCTTGGCACTATTAACTTCTTGGGCTGGATGTACATTGTAGGATGTTTCACAGCATCACTGGCCTCTACCCACTAGATGGCAGTAGCACTTTCCCCAGTTATGACAATCAGAAATATCTCCTGACATAGCCAAATGTCCCTTGAGGGACAAAAATAATTTTTGATTGAGAAGTATTATTTTATAGTTTCTGAAAATTCATTTCTAGATTTAAAAAAGACACGTGAATTTTTATATCTGCTTCTGTAGTCAGTGTTGTGATGTGATGATTTAATTGAAATACTATATGATGACAATCTGGCCTCATACATATGAGTATTGACAGTAATACCTTTTATACATAACTGTAGATGTTCTTCTTTGATACTGCACCAAAACTGACAAGTGGTAGTTTCTTAAATGTTCATTGCAATCTGGAATCTGAAACCATATCAGTAAGCTTTTTATACTCTGTTGAATTAAAATCCACTGATCTATCTTGAACTTTGAATGGCTATTTACTCATACATGATTTGAAACATTATGCATTAGTCATTGGAAAATAGTTGCTCACTGAATTATGCAGATCTACCAAGTGTTGACACATTTTAAAATATAGTATAAAGAAGTGCTTTAAACATATTTCTCCTTTTTCACATGGAATATTAAAACCACCTGTACTCAGGGTTTATGATTAATAATTTTTACTGCTTCATCAAGGACATTTGTAAGTGAAACTGGCCAATTATTACAAGTTCATGGCAGTGAAGAAAGCAGTGACTACTACTATAGTTTGGTGCCTCTGCCTTGATCTGTGCTGAAGTGCTGGCAGTTTTACCCAACTCTGCTTTTGTACCTTAAGTAGAAGTGTCAATGCAATGAAAAAGTATTATGAAATAGTTTTAACTTTCTATACCCTCTAAAAGAGTCTTGGGGATTCCCAGGGATCATAGATTTCACTTCCTAAATCTTAATAAGTTTTATGTATTGGATTCTACTCCTTAGCTAAAGTTTATTTAGTCAAATGCTTTGAACTCTCCTAGGTTACTACTGATAGCTGTGGTGGAAAGACTACTGCTTTTAAAACCAAGAACTTAAATTTGGTGTTAGAAAGCTAATATATGTATTCAAGTTATCAAGTATTTTAAAAACTTCAATTTAGAGTTTTATACTGTCTGTATAACTTGTCAGGTTTTGGTGTTGTTACTTAATAAAATAGGCTTTAGTTCTTTTTAAATGAGTATTAACTGGTAAATAGTAAGTTACATAATCATTTTTCTACTTTATTTCAGTAGAAAATGTTTTTCTAGTCAAGTGTTAGATGGAACATACTATGTTAACATTTATTGCTTGTTGTTGGATATATTTTTTGGAAAGTTTGAATTTTTGTTGCCCAAATGTCTTTTTGAAGCCTGAAAGTGCATATATGGTACACTGGTATACATAAATTTTATTAAGAAATGATACAGTTTACCTGGTTTTTCCATTCAATGCATCAGAATTTTGACTGTTTTAGATATGGTTTATCTGATTCATGTATCTGTGCATTAGAACATTTAGAGGACTTCTTTAACTTGAAACTTAATGAAGCAACAGAAGGGTTACTAATAATTTCCCTCATTTGCATCTATCAAGAACATTTCAGGCAAACAGGGAATTTGAGAGATTAGTACAATGAACACTAATATACCTATCATGTAGATTTAAGCAATTATTAACTTTTTGTTGTGTTTGTTTCATTTATTTAGAAGTGGGGCTGGAATATTTAAATTATAGACCTCATGATGTTGTGCCCCAGAATATTTAATGCATGTCTAAAAATTGGAACATTTTTATATTACCATAAAACCTTTTTACATCTAACAAAATTTATAATAATTTAATATAACCTAACACCCAGTTCATATTCAATTGCCTCAGGTTGTCCCCAAGTCTTTCTACTGTAGGCTTGTTACAACCAGAATCCCAGCAAGTTAATACATTATATTTGGTTGTTATGTTATTACTAGAGGCCCGGTGCACGAAATTCGTGTTGGCCAATTATTACAAGTTCATGGCAGTGAAGAAAGCAGTGACTACTACTATAGTTTGGTGCCTCTGCCTTGATCTGTGCTGAAGTGCTGGCAGTTTTACCCAACTCTGCTTTTGTACCTTAAGTAGAAGTGTCAATGCAATGAAAAAGTATTATGAAATAGTTTTAACTTTCTATACCCTCTAAAAGAGTCTTGGGGGATTCCCAGGGATCATAGATTTCACTTCTTAAATCTTAATAAGTTTTATGTATTGGATTCTACTCCTTAGCTAAAGTTTATTTAGTCAAATGCTTTGAACTCTCCTAGGTTACTACTGATAGCTGTGGTGGAAAGACTACTGCTTTTAAAACCAAGAACTTAAATTTGGTGTTAGAAAGCTAATATATGTATTCAAGTTATCAAGTATTTTAAAAACTTCAATTTAGAGTTTTATACTGTCTGTATAACTTGTCAGGTTTTGGTGTTGTTACTTAATAAAATAGGCTTTAGTTCTTTTTAAATGAGTATTAACTGGTAAATAGTAAGTTACATAATCATTTTTCTACTTTATTTCAGTAGAAAATGTTTTTCTAGTCAAGTGTTAGATGGAACATACTATGTTAACATTTATTGCTTGTTGTTGGATATATTTTTTGGAAAGTTTGAATTTTTGTTGCCCAAATGTCTTTTTGAAGCCTGAAAGTGCATATATGGTACACTGGTATACATAAATTTTATTAAGAAATGATACAGTTTACCTGGTTTTTCCATTCAATGCATCAGAATTTTGACTGTTTTAGATATGGTTTATCTGATTCATGTATCTGTGCATTAGAACATTTAGAGGACTTCTTTAACTTGAAACTTAATGAAGCAACAGAAGGGTTACTAATAATTTCCCTCATTTGCATCTATCAAGAACATTTCAGGCAAACAGGGAATTTGAGAGATTAGTACAATGAACACTAATATACCTATCATGTAGATTTAAGCAATTATTAACTTTTTGTTGTGTTTGTTTCATTTATTTAGAAGTGGGGCTGGAATATTTAAATTATAGACCTCATGATGTTGTGCCCCAGAATATTTAATGCATGTCTAAAAATTGGAACATTTTTATATTACCATAAAACCTTTTTACATCTAACAAAATTTATAATAATTTAATATAACCTAACACCCAGTTCATATTCAGTTGCCTCAGGTTGTCCCCAAGTCTTTCTACTGTAGGCTTGTTACAACCAGAATCCCAGCAAGTTAATACATTATATTTGGTTGTTATGTTATTACTAGAGGCCCGGTGCACGAAATTCGTGTACTCTGGGGGGGGGGGGGAAGGGTCCCTCAGTCCAGCCTGCACCCTCTTGCTCACCAGCTGTGTGAGCCTGGCTTCTGGCTGAGTGGCGCTCCCCCTGCGTTGAGTGTCTACCCTCTGGTTGTCAGTGCATGTCATAGCAACCAGTGATTCTGCCGTTTGGTCGATTTGCATATTAGACTTTTATTAAATAGGGTATCACCTTTAATCCTGAAGAGTCTCTTGTTTACTTTATGATCTATTGTGCCTTTGACATCTTAAAGAAACTGGAATACTGTCTCTATAGAGTGTTTGACCTTTTGGATTTATTTGATTGCCTCTTTGATGTGTTGTTTTCACTTAAAGATGTAAGCACTGAATTGGTTATGACATTAGGGATTGAAAACATTGTGATTTCCAATTCTGTCATTCTTTTTACATTTGTTACTGAAATTTTTCTGTGAAGAGAGATCTTAATCATCTTAGGGATGCTTGATAAGCATTGTTCTGATTCTCAACATTTTCTGTGATTTTTTTTTTAAAGTGTTAGTAGTGTCAGTGCTTTGATCTCTCGTTTCATTTTTATACTATCACCATCTTAGATAAGGTCCTTATCTTTTCATACCTAGGTCCATATAGCCTCCTATCTCCTGACCTTGCCCTCCAGTATACTAGGTTTATCTTCCTTAACAAAATAATCCAAACAAACAAAATTATTGTTATGTGTTAAGATGAGATTATGATGTGATTGAGGTTCTTGTAGATCAGGGGTCCTCAAACTACGGCCCGCCGAAAACATTTATCCGACCCGCCGGGTGTTTTTGCCGCCGCTGCCTGTCCTGCTTAGCAGCCGACTCGTCCCGGGCCCGCAGTGCGCATGTGTGGAATGTCTGAGGGACAGTGAACTGGCCCCCTGTTTAAAAAGTTTGAGGACCTCTGTTCTAGATGTATATGGCCAGAAAATACATCGATTCTGTGAAGTAGGTCTCTGAGGGAAATAATATGAAAGAGAAATAAAAGTTGTCAATGAAAATACCACTTTTTATTATTCATGCTTGTAACTGAAAACTTCATTAGATGCCTACCTTTATGTCATTCTCTTTCTCAAAAAGTCAACAGCTGACTGTTGCCTAGAGCAATGGCTCCTAAGTCTGAGAGTCACCTGGGAACTTTGCTTAGATACAGATTCTGCTGCAACCTTTTAAAATCTCTAGGGTAAAGCTGTGTAATTATAA